TACTGGTAGCTCGGCGGGGATACGCCCACCGAAGGGAGGTGACAGCTCCCGCAGGTGGAGGTGAGTTGTACCTCATGTTGGTCCTATCTTGTCGTAGGGGCTCGCGAGAGGTATGGCTGCCGCACTCGGCCGGAGCGACTTGCGGAAGCTCCATGTGTATCGTGAGTAGACCCACTCCTGCGTGACGTGGCCAAGAGTGCCCTACCCTGCGCGGGATCGATGCGCTCGACAGGTGGCGCCGTTGTCGGGGATGACAGTTGTCTACCGTTGTCCCTGATGCAACAACATCCGGGTATGGGAAAGTTAAAAAATAGGTTTGTAAGGAAGTTCTATTCGATTTATAAGGCATAAGATGTGAAACCTTGTTTGGGTGAGAAGACTATCCAAGTAAGTTACTATTAATAATGTATTGCACTTTTTTTGAATTGATTGGTTGCCTTACTAACGACTATAGGGTAAAGGCTATGTTCCCCGGGTACGTGAGGGAAGTTTTGCAGTGGGAATAAGCCTGTTAAAATGGGTTAAGAAAAAAAAAAGTGTTTGTATGTGTTAAGATCGGACCGTGATTAGACCAAGTAAGAAGTTAGATAAGTAATGTGATAGGTCAGCTTGCTGAATGAAGTTTTTACCTTTTCTTAACAGAAACGGTTTGAGTCAAGAGATCAGTCAAGATGGTCGATGGTGTGGCAAAAGGTTTGACCATTGATGACATAGCTGAAGCCTTGGACAAACGGGAAAGAACTCAAAGCAATGTCTCTTTGATCAACACTTTCGTGTTCAGCGGGGAGCGAGTTTCAGATTGGATAGAGCTGAATGAGCAGGCAATGGTAGGTCTGGTAGATGCAGTAAAGTTTCAATGCATCCCGACGTACATATAACTTGGGCTCCACAAGAAGGTAGAAAAGGTTATAGATGCGGCAAACAATAGTTGGGCAAGGTTTAAGAATGGTATGCAGAAAAAATATAGGTTGGGAGACGACTTGCTGACAATAGCGGACTTGGAAGCAATGGATAAAAATGACTATACCATCGTTGGAGCCGTTGTAGAAGTGTTCAAAAAGCAGGTTCAGAAAATCCCAGGGATTTCGAAAGAGGCACATTCTTAAGGTTGTTCAACTCTTTGGAGGTCCACCCAAAAACTGACAAAGCAAGGAGGGGGCAGTGAGAAGCTTATCTGGGCTACAATCAATAAAGGGGTAGAGGAAGGGGATCTTGACCAGGTGGAGCAATATCAAATGAACCAACATAGGCGAAAGAGAAAAGAGCGTGATGCGATCGCCTCAGTGACTGCAGAAATAAAATGGATCATCACGGATGTACTTGTGGAGTTGGGTTATGGAAAAGACTCCGTGGTAGAGAAGAAGGTGGTGACCACGGTCCAAAGGAAGGGAAAGGAGTCGGTGGTAGAGGAAGTTGTTCAGGAAGAATGGGAAGACGAGGAGACAGTGGCCCAACATCTTGTAAAGGCGTATCGTAAGCAGCGCAATTTAACGCAAAGGGGACAAGGCTCTGGAAAAGGACAAGCACCTCAGGCATTGACAGTAGCCTCACCAAGTACAGCAATGCCGTCAAGTAGTGCAAGACCCTCGCAAGCAAGGCCACCATCTTAAGGACAGTGGTCATGGCCTGTCTTTAGCACCTTCGTACCGTGAGGCGGTCAGGTTTCGCTAGGACAAATAGTACCATACCCGGGCCTCAAGCAAGTGTCCCACATCCAAGCTACCCCGCAGTTCAGGCTTAGCCCATAGCGCCACCTCCACCGCATATTCAACAAAGTTTGCAAGCTAGCGTGGTAGGAGGTGAAAATTAAGGGCAAGGCAACCAAGGGAATGGGGGCCGGGGCGGTGGAAGAGGACGAGGTAGAAATGGTGGAGGCCGAGGTGGTCCATGGAATGGTCAAGGTTATCAGTATCAAGAGAACGAAGGCGGCCACGAACGAGGTCAAGGGTATGTGAGATCTCGTTTTGATTGGCGGAACGTCATTTGCTGACAATACGTTTTTGTCAAACGAGACGAAATGATGAGAGATATGAACTGATCTCTTCAAACATGGAAGGAGATATATACGATCGGTTCGGAGAATATATTGATCCTAAGATTCCTGGCGGAGTAAGGCAAGAGGCCCTTAGAAGAGTAGTCGCGCAACCAGCACTACCAACCATGTTCAAATTGTACTAGGAAAAGGAGGACCCACCTATAAAGGTGGAAGAGGTGGAAAGTGGCGAAGAGGTAACTTAAAGGCTACAAGCCTATAGTCATTGAGTTAGACGGCGAAGACATTGATGAAGAAGTGGAGTTTACGTCAATCCTCGTGGTAAGATGGAAGACTTGTGGGACAATATGAGGAGATACCAGCGAAAGCTGGTAGGTACATGTGAGGAAGTACAAGAGTGGAATATTGATCTCCCTAAATGTTTTCCTTTATGACTCCGGCCCAGAATCAGTGTCTGCACAACAGGGGTACCCTGGGATGACGACAGTAGGGTCAGGCCCAAGGTCCGGTATGACTTATAGGCCCCCAACGGCGCATGGCAGAGCTGCATTGGCGGCCCGAACCAGGGGTCAAGCTAAGGTGAGCGCTAGTCAAGAGCCTCCTAGCAGAGAGTCCGAGCCAGAACGAAAAAAAGAGCCTATGGAGATTGAGGAGGACGATGTTGAGGATGAGGAGGATGAAAGACTTCGCCAGGAGGAGGACCGGTGAGCAGAGCAGAGAGCCAAGAAAAGAGGAACCCAAGAGGAAACCGAACCGATTTTGCGCGATGTAGTGCCAAAGAAAAAGCAGTACGTTGTCTGGTTGGAGAAATGTTTTGATGTGGAAAAAATGGTTGATAGGTTGCTTAAGGGTCACAACGACCTCATAAACCTAAAAGATATTTTGGCCTCTGCCCCAAGGCTCCGTGATGGGTTGAAGGGTAGATTGTCGCGGCGGTTGGTGCGGAACGTTCATCTAGGTACGATTCTGCCAAAAGAGGCAGAGTGGGTGGAAACAGGAACAAAGATGGACTGGAAGTGTGTGACCTGTGGGTTGGTAGACTTGGTAGTGAAAGAGTCAAACTTTCAAAGTACACAACAATGGTAGATACAGGGGCAAAGATGAATATCATCGGAGAAACTGATGCACTTAGGTTAGATATGAAGATAGACTGTTCAGATTGCAACATCTTGCATGATGTCAACTGTAAGGCGGTATTTGTGGGACAGCCTCGAACATGGTTATCATGGTTGGTAAGGTGAAGGCGAGGACTTGCTTCTTCGTCATGCCTGATGTGGACCATGTCATTCTTCTGGGGAGATTGTTCTTGTGCAAGACGGAGACTATAATCTTCTATAAGCACGATGGAATGATGCTTTTACTTCTTTGTGATCCGAAATGTGGGAACTACGAGATTGTCACTTGCAGGAGCACGGGACCCCGGAGTATAAGGAATCGACCCAACCCTAGCTTGTTCACGGTGAAGGAGTTCGAAAGTGAGAGGCGACGACTTCTAAAGGAGCCAGAAGCGGAAGAAAGGGCGGAGGTGCTTTTACTTAGTCTGCCTGATATGAACAAGGTCATGGACTTGGTGACGGCTCATGAGTTGGCGGACTCAGAGGCGATTAAGGCATTAAGGGAACAAGTCTTGGAAAACCCTCAAGTAGGGGAGGTGAAACTGACCTATCGGCTTCCTGGAGGAGGCAGGATGCCGTGGAATGTCTGTTTTTTTTTTTTTTTTTTTTCTATCTTTATTTCTTCCTTAATGATGGGTGGACCGCCATGAGCGGCAATGCATGGGGGGTCTAGGACTCCAGGGAGTTGCGGCAAAGATAGGATGATGTTCCTTGTCTACCTTTATTTCTACCTTTATGTTTGTTCCTTGTCTCGTTCTAGGGGTGGACCGCCATGAGCGGCTATGCATGGGGGGTCTAGGACTCTAGGGGGTGCGGCAAA